AAAAAGTCAAGCCAGAAGTGTTGCTGTGGAGAACCTAACAGGCAAAGAACAGAAATTGCCAAGAAGCCCATTGGTCTAGAATTACTTCTAGGATCAGCAGTTCACACATGATGAGGCTTTTGTTGTCAAAAATATTTTTTTCACAGTTTTGTTGAAAGTCACTGGGTTGACTATTTCCATCCCTCTTACGTGCTACCCCAGGAATTAATATTTGGGGGAAGAGGATGAGGATGGATCTATATAACAGTTGTATTTGCCGGTTCTACTGATCCAATAAATAAACTGGTGTCTGACAGCTCCTAATAAGTGTAGCTGCAGTGCTCTCTAGTGGTTAGTAGCAGTGAATTTTTTTGCTGTTTTGAAATGAGAAGTACTTTACCACTCGCTCATTCCAGTAGTACTTATAAGTATCTTGATACTAATAGTGAAGTTTTTCTCTTCAGGATTTCTAGGACCTAGAGAAGTTATTATAAAATACAAATTTACAGAAGCAATGATTTGAATCAGGGAACAATGAGGTGCTGAAAATTCAACCTCAATAATATTAATTAACAAACAGTAAAATTTGACATCATCCTTTTTATTTTAAAAAGCATGAAAACAGTACAAAGAGGAGAATGAGGAAATAAGTAATAAGCAGCAGTCTGACCATAGAAAATAACCTGAATCTGTATTCTCTATCAGCTGTACAATAAGTAGGACTAGTGATTCTCTTAAGTAATGTAACTAGTTTTACTAAGTAGTCATAGGACAGAAGCAAGCAAGAACACACAACATTCAGAAGACTTTAATACTACTCAAAGGCAAAACATAATATACAGAGTAACCCCCTTAACCTAGTACAAAAATACTGTGCCCAGAAACTATATATTTGTTCAAATATTTTTAAAAGATAAAAGAATACAAATGGACAAACTCAGTGGCTAGTGACTGTGATTATGATTTTTATTAAACTATAATAGAAATGTATATTATAACTATTTACAGTGCATTTCACACTACATTCTTTAAGAGACACATGCAGGTGTCTGCCATGTGAATACATAGAGGGCTCAAATTCTAACTTCAGTTA